CTAACCGGGTTATTATCGGTAAGTTTGATAATTTCTGATTGAAAGTGCAAACTAACCCGGATTATTATCAGTAAGTTTTAATGTTTGATTACAATTGCAAACTAACCGGGTTAGTATTAGTAAGTTTGAAAATATCTTATTGAAATTGCAAACTAACCGGGTTAGAGGGAAGTCGGTTAAACGTGCGCAGCGGCTAATGGTGCGCACCATAATACCATACGAAAACGCCGATTATTTGATCAAATTCGTACACGTGGCGCCGTCTCATAGATGTCTTTGAAAGTAACGCTGACTTTCATGCGATTTGCTGCTTAAACATATCGGTGATCGTGTTTGGCGGTTCATCCGACTGTTTATATTAAAATTTAAGCGGGTGAAAACAAGCGATAACTTTGAAAATAAGAACATTCCTGTTTCGGAAATTTCACCAAAATAATCAGTGGGGTTCCTACTATTACTGTTCCTACTATTACAAGGTAAATAACTTGCAATTTTATTTTTGTGAATTTTTATTACAATTAGGTCCATGTTGGCTAATTGTGCGCATCGCGCACAATTATCCGTCCTCTTTCATTTTCAAACTATTTATTATGAATACATATTTTCATTGTTTCAGATGCCAAAATATGCCCGAAAAACAAATAAAGCAACCTGGGACGTAGATACAATGGAAAAAGCTATATTATTTGTTGCAAATGGTGGGGCAATTAGAGATGCTGGGCGAAGGTTTGGAATACCTGAATCCACAATTCGCAAAAGAAAGAAAAATAATAAGACCGTTAAAAGGAAGGTTTTTGAGGAAAGTGAATCTGAAGAAGAAGTCTCAGACAGCCAGTTATGTGATGATGATGAACTTGATGACACGGAGGTCAATCTCGGAGACAGATGTTTGGTTTGCGACGACTGGAGCAAGAAAGACGAATACTGGTTTCAGTGTGCGATCTGCGGCAAATGGGTCGATGAGCTTTGCATTGGGGTAGACTCCCCCATATGTTACATCTGCGACTTTTGCGACCACTAGTTATGGTTTTTATGCAATAATTTAGTTTAATATTATGTTTGCAATAAACGTATTATGTACTTTGTTTCACTTGTTTTTAATCCACCCTTTATATCCGATAGTTTTCAATAGTTTTCTGTTGCGCACAATTGCCCTAACTAGTACGCACCATTAACCGCATAGGGTGGATAATCGTGCGCAGTGTCAGTTTTTATCTAATTTTGTCCCTAGGCTCAGAATATTTTCTTTGTGATCTTTGGTTGATTTGGGCTGTCAGCTATAACACAGAAGAATATCTATGCCAAATTTCAGAGCTCCATGAGCCATATTTTAGAAAATATCTTTCTTTTTCCTTAGGTGCGCACAATTTACCGACTCTCCCCTATTATCGGTAATGTCTGATTACAATTGCAAACTAACTAAAACTAACCTGGTTATTATTGGTAACTTTGATTATGTCTGACAAAAATTTCGAACTTAGCGGGTTATTATAGGTAAGTTTGGTAGTGTCCTCGGTAATGTCTGATTGAACAGAAATAGTGTAGGTTTACAGAGAAAGTATAAATTTACAGAAAAAGGGTAAATTTACAGAAAAAGTCTAAATTTTAATGAAAATATTTTCCAATATTAGATGGCAGCTCAACGCCTTGTGAAAACGACAAAAAACGTTGACTGCTTTCTGTTGGATTGGCAGAGTGTTGTCGCATTACGCCTTAAGTGATTAGTTTTTTCTATAAAGTTGCGGCGTATTGTTTGTTATCGTATTTTTTTTTCCTTAACCGGCCCACTTGGCTCTCCGGCCCACCGGGAATCGTCCCGGTGTCCCGCCTGAGCCCATCCGCCCCTGCATTGGTCCGTTTGAATTCGGACCGCCAATTAATGAGGAGTGCCGAAATCCGTACTTGAATGTTGAACGGTGCTGAGCCTCAGGTCGGAATGTTACTCCGTTAGCGCGGCACAAAATCAACAAACAAACTTTATTTACTTTTTGTTACACATTTATTTTATTTCAACGATACATTTCAAAAAATCTTGGACAATAATTTGCAGTGGCGGACCCAGGGGGGGATTATAAATACCTGAAACCTGGCAAATTAGAATGGAAAATTTTGGAAATAAATAAATACCCTAATATATTTATCTTTTTTTTTGGTATCTGTGGTGCTTATTAAAATATCAATTGAAGCCAGGCAACAGCAGTTTTTGGATTTTCCTTTCTTATTATTTCCTTGATCCACTTTTTTATAAGCACTATGATGGCATACAAAAACATATCTAAAAAATGTATTTTCCAAAGTCTATTCGCATCCAAGAAGATTCTACGTCATTGAATTGACATTGAACACAAACCTGCATTTGAATCTGTTATAATTATTTTTCGCTGACTTCACATTCCAATCCGTGTATGTTATATCACTATACTCTTCTATCCATTGCTTTATATCGTTTTTCTCCAAATTGTTGGATCGGTAAATTTGCTCACCACATTGAAAGTGTTTAAATGATCCAGGCAAACTCATCTTGCATGTTTAAGCACAAGAACACATGAAGCAACGGCAAAATAAACCGCATCCGCCGCAAAATTGTAGCTAAGAGGAACACGAAGGAGGTGGACAGCTGATTAAATATAAAAACCGCGCCAAACGCATGGCAACATTCGGACCTGATACTCAGCACTGTTTAACATTTTGACCTTAGATTCGGCACTCCACATGGCTGTTGCTAATGGACCATTCTGACCTGAGGCTCAGCACCGTTCAACATTCAAGTACGGATTTCAGCACTCCGCATCAATTGGCGGTCCGAATTCAAACGGACCAATGAGATATGCCTAGGTGCCGAATCCTATACCCGAATGTTTAGATGCTTACCGTTGCCCCGTAGATATAGAGTCGCTGGGCAGACATTAAATAGTATTGGATCCCACCATAAACCTCCTAAGAGTATCTCCGCAATGACCCCTCCATCCGCGTGTCCTAATTTAGTATTTATCGGAGTAGAGTCGCAAGAATTTTGTTTCTGTTTCCGCTACTCAAAAGCGCCGACAGCGCGTGTACACAATTAAACAAGTTAGCCTTGTAATTTATGTCGTTTGGTGATTAGATTAATGAGTTTATATAAAAGGTCAGGAAATCTCGCGACTCTTCCGGTTGCGTAGTTAGTTCACTCGGACCGCTTCTAGTAAAGATAACTGATGACTATAAAGGGGGGTCCGTATAATAATCGTTAGATTAGATTTTTGAGTTTAATCGCTGGCTTAAGCAGCAAAACAGATAACTACGTTAAATAGGTATTATTTTAATTTGAACTTAGAGAATTCCAATTATTGAGACTAATGAGAGTATTTTATTCACTTTATTTCTTTCCAATTATAATTTTGATTATTGGGATTTAATTTAAGATAAATAGTTATTTGATTGAATTTAAATTTTATTAAGGTAGGTAAATAATAATAACCAAAACTATTTTTCTGAAAATTCCCCTTTTTCACTGTTTAAATCCCTCTAATTTATGGCCACTTTTTTTGGGATCTTCACACCGGGAGACCAAATAATGACAAAACAGTGATATAGAAATTATAAAATTATTGTAAACAAGTTGGAGACGTTGGCAAACACTGCTACGACTATTTCTTGCACTTTCATCCATGTTTTTCTGTGTTTTTTCGATAAGCGTCCAGAATGAGTTGAAACAAACCCTATTGTTCGATATGTTTACAGAAACCGTCCTCCAGTTGTTTGTGTTTTTTGATTGTCTCTCAGCGTTTTGGAATGTGTTTATGAAACGCTTTCACTGGAAAAAAAAAAATGAAGAATACCAATAATATTGTCGAAATATCAGAATAAATTTTATTAAAAGGATTCCAACTTCATTAGTTTGGCTCTATATGATTAGCTAAAGAAGTAAGTTGTGAACATGTGAATACTTAATGCTAAATAAAATGCTTGCAATATGTTTTCTTCATCTTCCTTTTCTACTCTTTTCATGTCATTGAACAATAAACAATACCCTACTGCTTACTGTAAAATTCTACAAGGCGGAAGTCTCTGACCCTCCATGTCTCTGAATATACTATAATTTCAGAAAAAATGAAAACAATCAATTCCTCAATTAATTTGCTAGTTTAGGTCTGCTTGCACCATACGAAGGATTTATGGATTTAAGTTTGCATTATTGTACTAAAAGTACGCAAGCTAGAAATCTTTTTTATCCACCTTCGGAAACTTTCTAAAAATAGAGGAACAAGATCTAATAGGGAATTTTCATATTTCTCAAATTATTATTTTTTAGATACTTCTAGTCATCAGTTATTACATAATTTTCTTTTTTTCCATTTTAATTTATACGTTATACGAAAAAATATTTATTGAAATTCAAATAAAATACTTTGGCGCGAAAACACGAAATCTCAATTTGACAGCGCTCGTGACGTTGAGATTTTGTAAACATCAAATACGCAGCAAACGAACTCCTGCTGATGCAGTGCTATTTTTGTGTTATTCAAGTGTGTTAAAGGTTGCTTTTTATGAAAATTGTCGCAATTGATGAAGAATATTGTGAAGGACTGCTTTTGTTTTTTTTTTACGTGCCAGTTCCCAATCACAGATTTCCCTATTGACGGGTTTGTTTACAGAATCGTGACGTCAAAACAGGTATTCATCATGGAGCATTGTTTTGGCGGGAAAGTTTTTATTTCAAATTTAATATTATTTTTTGTGTAACAAGGGCGGTATCAGTTAAATAAAAACGGGTCATATGAATATTGTGCAGCATAAACTATCGATTTAAAACAAATTTGGAAAATTTTACTTCACTTGCAAGTTCCCTATTAGGAATGGAAAGAAAATAATTTGTAAGAGACTAACCAGAACAGTGCAAGAAAGAAACCAAACAACTTTTTTTTATTCACAAGGTTTTTCTTGAGGTTTTTCTGCTAGGATCCAGAAAAAAAAAGCAGTAGGAATGGAAAAATAAGTAAAAACTAATCAATTATGTCATGCTATCATCATATAATATATTCAGGAATGTGCAAATCATAATACAATATCATAGATATTAAATTCATAGTGGCGTGTCATATTAGGTATACTTGGACGACTTAAGTTTGCTTCGATAAAAATCAGGAATAAATTTTGATTGGGGGAACCTCAAAAATTTCAGATTATGCATCATTACCATTTAAACTGGCTTTTCAATGTGGAAAATTCAAAATTTATTATTTTTCAGATTTTCAATTGCACCAAGGACAAAATCATAATGGTATTTCTTGGAAAAATCACACTTGATCATGCCCTTATTTTTTTAATTTTTTTTTTTCTGTAAAAATAAATTTGAGAATTGAATAAAGCATGAAAAATATCACAATCAAAAGGTCAACATCAATAAAATTGAATAGTTTGTTTTTAAAAAAAATACTTCTTACTCTTATTAGGTACTGGTTACAATTTGCTGAACAACAAAACACACAGAACATGTAACACTCAAAACTTAGTAATTGAGCTTAGGTTTTAATACTGATCTATTTTAGATGAAAAAGAACACATCTGCATAGATAGAATGTAGAAAACGAACCTAGACACACCGTGTTGAAACACATATTCAATAGTATTTCCTACCTTATCTACTATCAGAAAACATCAATGCAAAAGAAGCGTGCATCTAATGAACTTAGACGCTTATTCATGATTAACAGGCTCTCGAAACAAAAATAAGCTAACTTCACCTTGTTATGCCCCACCAGGAGTTAATAAGTTTTGCTTAATTCAACGATAAAATTTAACTTCAGTTTCTACGCAATCTTTAAGAAGTTCATCAAATTCAGACAAGTCTTCAGCTACATTAGAAATTATTTGGTTAACTTCTTCAACACAATCAGTCTCCATGGTATGAAGCAACTCCTGGACTCCTTTGTATTCAGCATTTTTAAATAGACTGTACAAAGTGTGAGGGCTCTAAAAATAATTTTGTTCCTTGAAAATAATACCAAAAAAACAATATTTTAACTTACATCTTTGTCAGGACAAATTGTATGCTTGGAAATTACAGCATTTTTAGTAAAAATAAACGGCTTGAAGACAGATCTAGAAGGGTCCGGTGTAGCTGTAAACCAATGTATGCTTGGTCTAGTCGAAGACAATGTCGATACTTGACTTCCAGATGTAGGAAAACCACTATTGAAATCCTTGCAAATGCCCAATTCTTTGTCTCTGAGGACTTTAAACATATCAGTTTCCCTGAAGCTATTCGAGCTGCTATATTTTTCTAATAGTTTACCGCCTGCTTGGTAACAAAGGTCCGAAGGATTGTTTTCGCCAGAGAAGGCTTCACAAAAATTAAATTGGCCCTTAAAAAGTCATATTTTAGCTATACAGTGCCCGCGGAAAAGTCTGCACCATATGGGAATTTTATGCTAAACCTTCAAATCGGTTTTCGGCATTAGGTTCTGCATGACTGAAAACCAGAAAAACACCTAAAATTTTTGACTCGAGACCTTGCCTCCCACCTGTCAAATGCCATTTGAAAATTTCAAACAAGGAAAAGTGGCATTTTTATAAAAAATATGAAAAAATTTCATAAGAAAATATTGTTCCAAATCACATTTATAGTCTAATTTGATATTTTTGCTTTGAAAAAAAAAAAATTTCATTTTTTTATTTTTTTCGAATATCTACAGAAAAATAATATTTTTAGGATTTCTTTCGCGATCATTCCTCTAAAATAATTAGTTTGTACTGACTAATGGTTTTTTAAATCCTAATAATCTAATTAAGAGTTTAAACATCAAAAAGAAATATTTCTATTAAAATTTTGAGACGCCTCTGGACTATTTTAAAAATTTAGGATTTCTCTAATTAAAATTTCAAATTGTTTGCTTATAAACTACTACTAAAAGTCATTTTTAACAATATTTTCCTATAAATTTTTTTCATATTTTTTATAAAAATGCCACTTTTCCTTGTTTGAAATTTTCAAATGGCATTTGATGCAAGTCTCGAGTCAAAAATTTTAGGTATTTTTTTGGTTTTCACTCATGCAGAACCTAATGCCGAAAACCGATTTGAAGTAAGGACGAGCATAAAAAAATTTCCCATATGGTGCAGACTTTTCCCCGGGCACTGTATATTTTCAGCAAATAAAATATTTCAAGTACCTACTTTGCCATCCCAAAGATTTTTCGATTTTGCATAGTCTTCAATACCCTCCGATTTTTTGTCGATTTTCGTAGTAATCGAAAGAGCATTAGTAATATTTCTGAAACCACCTAGAATAATTCATTCCAACGATTTTTTTGAAAATTACAAGTAAATTGAAACTTACTGGTGATTTTCTCTGCCACCCAATGTTTCCCGCTAGTCTCCAACACCCAAGCACATGAAGGATCAGCAATTAAAAAGGAATTATGATAAGTAAAACCCTTGTCAGTTTTAGAACAAGGACCCCCTTGTCCATATTTTTCTAATAAGTTAGTAATGATTTCTAGTGCTTCGTCAGCAGTAGAGCCTCTTTCCAAACCTAACCTGAAATAATTAGTTTGTTAATAGGCTGAATTATGAATAATACTGTTAATATATGTTTTGGTTAATACCTTACTAAATCCATTCCTAAAAGTCGCTTGACCCCAGTATCGCTGTCTCCATCGTTGTCATTTGTCCAAACTGCTTCGTTTCCGATAGCAACGCCGCATTCGTTGGATCCCATTTCTGCGCCCCACATCCAATTGGGTTTGCTCAAAATTACTGCTTTGGTTTTGGCAACTGGTTCAATTTCGATGTAGGTGCACTGTTGAAAATTAGAAATTTTTACGACCCATAACACTACCAAAATCTTAGGGAAGGGAAACAAATTGACTGTGGGAATAAATAAATCTATACTTTGGTCTATACCACTTCAAAAAAGTGTTTTCTTCTTCCAAAGTTCTTTGCCCACATGGATACCCTTCAACATTTAAAAAAATTGCTGCACAAGTGAGAAACCTAAAAATGCCAATCTGTGCCAACAAAGCAAAAAAGAAAAACACTCAGAAAAACATGAACTGAGCAAGAAAGCTGGCCCTGACAAAATTCCATTAGACCTTGTTTGGGTTAGTCAACAAACAGAAATGAATTCTCCTTATCTGGTGCTAAACTAAATAGGTAGTAGAGTAATTACCTACTTTTGAAGGGCAAAAAGAAAACAAATAAATGAAATGGGCTGAATAAGTAGGTATAGCAAGAGATAACTCTGTCAAGATTAATTTAAGCGCACAGGGTTGGCAAAAGCCCGGGTTTTTGGAAATTTCTATTGGTTTTTGGGTTTTGCGAGAATTGTGCTTTTGTAGGGCTTTTGTGTTTTTTAAGATCTTTGACTCTTTGACATTCCAAATAATCTCAAACTCAGAACTCAACAAAAGCCCAGTAAGTTTTTGGAATAAGTTTTTCCTACGAGCACGATGCTTTAATTCAAAATATAGGTACTACATATTTTTTACTACTATCTATAGGTACTATTTTCCATTGAGAAAACCTATATCTTACACAGATTTTTTGAACAATTTTTTGATAAATGAGATGGACAAATATAGTTGTGGAAAACATTACACCTAACTTCTGCGGAAAATGTCTTTTTCACCCTTGACTGCTTGCCAACTGCCGTTGCGTGCGGAAAAGCACCTCTTTCCGCACTTGTTAGGTAAATAACTATTTGTTTATGCCAACCCTGAAAGCGCGTTACAAATTCACACCAAGATAGCGAATAATGCATGAAAAGGATTGTCGCCTGAATGTGACTTCATTCAGGAAGCATTTCTGAAAATTACCGGTAAAGAAATTTGTCGGGTTAAATTACCAAAATTACCGTTACCGCGGTAACGTTACCACACTTTAATCTCTAGCAGGAACTACTGGTTAATACAAAATCAAATGAAACATATTCGAAACACATCGCCACTGTTGCCTGCCGCGGCGACATGCCGCCACCGCAGACCGCACTACCGCTCTTGAACCAGTACGAGTAGTGTAGTTGGCTCGACTGCAGATTGTTGAAATTGGTGAAAATGAGTTTTTCGGATGCTGAAGAAGAAAAACATCAATCTCGTGGCCAAATATTCAAACAAATGATTTCTAATCAGCACTGACTAACTGCCTTCCGTTTTCCTAGTTTTAAATAATGGTATCGTATGCTTTCTTCTTTTTCTGGAATAATGTAACAACGAAAGGTCGTCGTCGTCTTCTCCTTCCCATAGAATGCTCAAAATATCACGAGGGTCAAACACATCAGACATTTTCTCTGGTTATATATGGACTGAATTGAAGAAGTGGTTGGCTGCTGCGGATGCTTTCAGAAACAAATCAACCGCAAGCGGCAACTACTTTGCGGTTGTCGTCCGCGGTCTGCAGTTGCGGTGTGTCGCTGTAGTCGCCTTCGGAATAATAATAATAATAATAATAATAATAATAAAGGTCTTTTATTTTCAAAATGAAGTATAAGAAATTACAAGATATTCATAAAAAAAAAAGGGCGAGATTCAGTTTACCGATTTTTAGAAAAAAATCGGTATCTGTTCTTCCACCCAACCCTGTAGACAGAAAAGTTAGATTGCACTTAAAGGTCCTTAGAATAGATTTAATATAAAAAACAAAAAATAAAACCCTAAAAAAAAAATATCAATTTTGTTTATACCTACCAAATAAAAAGCCCGTACAATAAAAATAAAAGGACACAGCAGTATAATTAACATGTTCATAATTATTACTACCATAAATGAAAATGTAAGCAGATAAGGAGAGAAACAGAGAAAGAAAAAAAAAACAAGGAGAAAGAAGAAAAAACATAGGTACTCATCGACGTTCAAGTTGCAGAATGAAATTGTTTTTCAAATAAAATTTGAAACATTTTTTTTTTTAAATGATAGTTTATTATTGGTTTTTAGAAGTAAGGATGGGAGCTGATTAAATACTGATACAATCTGATATGAGAAGGATCTTTTAAAGATTTGTAGAGAGTGTAATGGGGGTGTTAACCTTCCACTGAACCGAATATTTATATTGTGAACATCGGATCTGTATCTAATTTTATTGTGCAGATAGTTGGGAACTTTGTTTTTAATTATATTAAAATAAAAGGTCGCAGCATGTAAATATCGTCTGTTAAACATATTTAGCCATTTGCTAGTTATTAGAGTGTGGCTTATTGGACTAAATTTTCTTATACCATGGACCAATCGCAAGCAAGAATTTTGCAGTTTTTGAATTTTTTTTGAATCTATTTGACTCAAACACGGGCTGTAAATGGTGTCACAATAGTTAGCTTGTGACAAAACAAAACTTTCACATAGCATGGTTTTGATTTTTTTGTTCAAACGCGAGCGATGCTGGTAAATTGTCCTTAAGTTCGCATAACCCCTCTGCAGACACCTGTTAACATGATCTGTAAACCTTAAATTCTGATCCATAATAAGGCCTAAGTTTTTAATAGATTTGTGCTCAACGATAGGCTCAGAACCCAGTTTAATGCACCCCCCATACGCAGCCACAAATTCCTCTCTGTGATTCTTTGGTCCAAAGACAATCATACCTGACTTTTGAGTATTTAACTGAAGACCGTGTTTTTTAGAAAGATCCAGAACATTATTTAAATCGTAGTTAATAGCAGCTACAGCTTGATCGGATTCAGTTATAGAAAAAGGCAAGTATAACTGAGTGTCATCGCAGTAAAAATGATGAAAGCAAGAAAGAAACGCAGAAGGAAAGCTAAAGACGTACAAAGAATACATCAGGGGACCTAGAATTGTTCCTTGAGGAACGCCTGTCGCTACCTGCAAAAATGAGGATAGATTGTTATCATAAAAAACCGCTTGATTTCTACTCAGTAAAAACTCATCCATCAGTTTGTTTGCACTCCCGGACAATCCCAAGTAATGCATAATGGAGCTCAAAAGCTGATGATTCAATGTGTCAAAAGCCTTTGAGTAGTCAAGAAGTACAAGGACTGTTAGTTTGCCTTCATCGATTGCTCTAAATACCGGGTGTTTTTCAAAACCCGCTCACCCCTATAACTTTTTTATTTTTGAAAATAAACAAATGAAATTTGGTATGCTTATTTATGACCCGAAAGTACACTATTTGACGTATTCAAGTATTTTTTATCACTTCCGGTTTGACCGGAAGTGATCCTAACTTTCTTATTTTAAATGAGACGCCAGGTATATTTTTCATCATTTCAATGGAAAACTACATTACGAGTACAATGACACCTCATTTGTCACTTTTTGACATTTCATCTTCAAATTATTTAAATTTTCACTTCTCATTCTAGAGCGCCATGAATTAGTTAAAATGCTTAATTTTGCTCCAAGGAACCTGGGAAAATTTGTTTTGATCTTATTTTGTATTTTATATCCTCTACCGACTCATTAAAAAATAGTAGAAGTGCATTTTGGTAATTATCTCAATTTTTTCAAATGGAAAGGTGTGGCTCATTACAATATTCCAAAAGAGCGTGTTCTAACGAGTAATTCAGTACCACACAATCGCTACTTCATCACTCAAATGAAGAATTTTCCTAGCATTCTAAATATTTTTGGAAAATTTTAGTTCAATATTTGAATAGACTAGTGACTGTGTGGTACTAAATTGTTCGTTAGAAAATGCTCTCTTGGAATATGCTAATGAGCCATACCCTTTCCATTTGAAAAAATGGATATAATCCCAAAAATGCGCTTCTACTATCTTTAAATGAGTCTGTTGAGGATATAAAATACAAAATGAGATCAAAACAAATTTTCCCAGGTTCCTTGGAACAAAATTAAGCATTTTAACTAATTCATGACGCTCTAGATTAAAAAATGAAAATTGAAATAATTTGGAGATGAAATGTCAAAAAGTGACAAATGAGGTGTCATTGTACTCGTAATGTAGTTTTCTATTGAAATAAGGGAAAATATACCTGGCGTCTCATTTAAAATATGAAAGTTAGGGTCACTTCCGGTTAAACCGGAAGTGATAAAAAATAATTGAATACGTCAAATAATGCACTTTCGGGTCATAAATAAGCGTACCAAATTTCATTTGTTTATTTTTAAAAATAAAAAAGTTGTAGGGGTGAGCGGCTTTTGAAAAACACCCGGTATATCGTCTGTTATTTTGGTAAGTGCTGTTGCGCAACTATAATTGGGCCGAAATCCTGATTGGTGCACAGGTAAAAGATCATATTTTTCAATATGCGTCCTCAGTTGAGTCTCGATGATTTTTTCTAGGATCTTGGACATCGTCGGTAGAACGTTAATTGGTCTGAGATTATTGAAAGATTCGGGATTTTTTATTTTTGGAAGAGGGGTGACCTTCGCTTTTTTCCAGGACCATCCATCCATCGTACCTAGGTACAATTCCGAACATCACTGCAGGCTGCAGGCAGCCGACCGCAGGCTGCAGACCGCGACCGCAGGCACTACTGGTTAATACAAAATAAAATAAAATATATTCGAAACACATCGTCACTGTTGCCTGCCGCGGCGACATGCCGCCTCCGCAGACCGCACTACCGCTCTCGAACCAGTACGAGTAGTGTAGTTGGCTCGACTGCAGATTGTTGAAATTGGTGAAAATGAGTTTTTCGGATGCGGAAGAAGAAAAACTTATCAATCTAGTGGCCAAATATTCAAGCAAATGATTTCTAATCAGCACTGAATAACTGCCTTCCGTTTTTCTAGTTTTAAATAATGGTATCGTATGCTTTCTTCTTTTTCTGAAATAATGTAACAAAAAAAGGTCGTCGTCGTCTTCTTCTTCCCATAGAATGCTCTA